CGCAAAGCAGATGATTTCGTCAACGACTTTTTCTAAATTGTACAGTGACGAATCTGCTAGATGAAGTGCCCCTATTCCCCATGTCCTTACAGGACCGTAGTCTTCACTGGACTCGGACGGGCGAAAGCGAAAGCGAAAGCGTTGGAAACCCGCTCTCGAGCTCCTCGCTTTCGCAGCGACGCAGCTTGCGCATTCCCGGGTGCCCGCAGACGTCGCGCCGGCCCTCGCTTTGGCCCGCTTGACGGCGCTGCGCAAGCCTAACGGTGGAGTGAGAGGCATCGCAACTGGCGACGTGTTCCGCCGCCTTGTCTCGCGTGCCTTAGCCAAGCAATGGGCCTCCATTTTCGATGAAGCAACGCGCCCGTACCAGTTCGCTTTGCAGGCGCGGGCCGGTACGGACGCCTTGGCAGCCCACGTGCGCACGGCGCTCGAGCTTAGCGATGAAACGGTCCTCGTTTCCCTCGATGGGCGGAGCGCGCATGATAGCATGTCCCGCGCATGTTTTCTAGCCGGCCTTCGAGAGACCGCGCCGGAGCCAGTCCCCTTCGTCCGGCTCTTTTATGGCCAGCCCTCCACATATTGTTGGTGGGACTCGGACGGGCGATGCCGTAGCATCTCGCAAGGCGAAGGCTGCGAGCAAGGAGACCCGTTGGCCCCGGCCCTCTATGCTTTGGGACAGCACGGAGCCCTCCGCAAAGCCGCTGCGTCCCTCCATCCGTCCGACCGATTGCTCGCATTCCTTGACGACCTGTATCACTGTATGTGCTGACTACACGGGACCGGGCACGTGCCGCTCGCGACACTGTGGTCGAGATCGTGCAGGAGGAATGCGGCATCGCTTCGAATGAGGGCAAGACGCGCGCGTACAGCTGGGCTGGTGGCCCCCCCCCTCCCGGCATAGAATCGTTGGGGGCGGATGTATGGCGAGGGGACAAGCCCTTGGCTGAACGAGGGCTCCTTGTGCTCGGCACCCCAATTGGCAATGCGCAGTTCGTCGCATCGTGGGCGGAACAACGGCTGCAGACGGAGTGGGAGCTCTTGCGCCAGCTGCCTAAACTGCCGGACTTGCAGTGTGCGTGGCTCCTCCTCACGATGTGTGCTTCGCGGCGCGGGCCAACCACGCTCTCCGCACCGTGCCTCCACTTACGGTCGCTCCGTATGCCAAGGCGCACGACGACGCGATCTGGGAGACGCTGCAGCTTTGCCTCGGCGGCGTTCCCCCCAGACGACGTTCAAGGCACGAAAAGCTTAGCAACCCTTCCGGCTGCTTGGGGTGGCCTGGGCCTGGTCTCTGCAGCGCGGACAGCGCCAGCTGCCTACTGGGCTGCTTGGGCTGACGCTTTGCCCGTGCTCCAAGCCCGCACTCCGGCTTTCGCTGATACCTGCGCGCGCCACCTCGCCATGGGCGGGGATCCCGCCCCCGGTCTCAAGGGAGCGGCGGAGGCACGCATTCTTTTGCAAAATGAAGGTTGGAGCGAATGTCCTTCTTGGGATGAAGTCCTCAGGGGTGCCCGCCCACCTCGACCAAGAGACGAAGGCGACTGGCCGCATGGCTGGCAACATTATGCATCGCGCACTCGCAACCAATACTTTCGCAAACGCATTTTGCTGCCTTCCCTGCCGCCGGCCGCCTGCGCCCTCCTCCGATCACAAGCTGGTCCGCAAGCAGGAGCATGGCTGACCGCCATACCAAGCGAGCCCGCCACCACTCTACGGCCCCAAGACATGCAGCTGGCCCTGCACCGCCGTTTGCGTCTCCCCTTGCCTCTCTGCCGCAGCTGCTGTGGCCCGCCCGGCTGCGGAGCAGACGTGGATGCCTACGGCGACCATGCGTTGGCATGTCCGCGCACCGGCTTGCTGGCCCGCAGGGCGAAAATCCTAGACGCTGCTCGGCGGGGCCCTGTGTTGCGATGCGACCCTCGTTTCGCCACTGACACGCGCGGGCCTCCCTCAACCGTGCGCAGCGGCGCATGACGGAGCGTCCTTGCGGGCCGCTGAGCGGCGCAAGCACACTGCATACCCCGAGCTGAGTGCTGGAGGGCCGCAAAAGCTCCTTGTTCTGGGGTCCGAAGTCGGGGGACGGTGGAACGCTGGAGCACAGCAGCTGGTTCGCGACCTTGTTCGCGTCCGCGCTCAGCGCTCGCCGCCCGTGGTGCGTGCCGCGGCCGCCTCGGCCTGGGCGCGGCGCTGGTGGGCTGTGCTCTCGGTCTCCGAAGCGGTGACAAGCACGGCGCTTGGGTTGGCCTGGCCTGCACCGCCCCACGCGACCCAAAGCCAAGGACCGGAGCTCGACCGCATCCTCGACCTCGCAGAGGCCGCGGGGCCGAGCCGGCTGCCTCTGTGCGGCGTGTAGTCTAGCGCGGAGTAGTCTCGGACGCCTGAGTCCTGCAGGCGGAAAAAAAAATTTCGGTGTTCCAGCATTTTCCCATGATTGAGACTGGCTGGTATTGTTTGTCCAAGGCCGTGCGAATGTGCCTGACCAAAGGGAGATGGCGTGCGGAACGGATGGTACCGCAATGAACGGAGGATCTACATGACAGCTCGTTTGACCTTTTTCAGCCTTGTGCCCTGATTGCCGCGGCACAGGGCATGAAGAATGCTCATGATTACGGGTATGCCGCGCGGGAAGTGAATGAGCCACAGCTGAATTGTCCGGCGTATCACGGCAGAAAAAGGAAAAGCCCGATCCTCGAGTCGAAGCCTCCAAGACTTTGCCAATTCAACCGTCCCGGTTGACCGGCGATATAGTGATATACAAGAGGTACAATGAAGGATCGATTGTCATTGTCAGGGATAGGAACGTCTTGACCTTGGCAAACACCCGGCCCAGATTGTGAGAGAGATGGAGAGTGAGCCCAGACATTGCAATTCGCAAACTGGCAAGCCTGAGCCTAAAACAGCGCTGCGCGCGCCAAGCTGGTTGAGCTTCCAGGTTATAACCAACTTGACAACCATCTATGCTATCTGGGGTCTTCGCCGGTCTGATCTAATATACAACTTTATATAACATGCCCCCTCCGGCCTGCCCGTGCGTCCTGGCCCATGCACAATGACATGGCCTGGACACAGCGTCCTTGCCTTGCCTAACGCATTGCTACCTCGGCCCAGATGTTGGCGTGACAGCTTGCTGTGGGACCAACATGGGTTTGTTGCCTTGGGCGTGCCGCTCGACCATTTGCATTCCATGCAGCCCGCTCCAACAAACGTTTTGCCGCATACGGACCTGTTGCACGCCCACAAAACTGCGCGACTTCCTAAGCCACGCGTGGCAGTGTAAGTGTAAGCAATCGAGGATTGCGTGGCAAGCCCATGGCTTTCAGCAATACGTTGCAATCGGACATCATGCTTCCTTTCCGCAACGCGAGTTTGTTCAGGGACGCAAATGGCGTTTGGGCAAACACATCATGCGAAGGACTTGCGACGGAAGATGTTCTTTCATAGAAATTCCTTGTCCCAGTGCCACCTCGAACCCCAATGCGGAACCCAAGCCGAGCTATTCGAAATTGCCAATGGTGCTACAACATTGGGAACAAGTTTGGATGTTTGGCATCGATGTTTTGCGAGCACGACAGGTCATCCCCAATGGTGAGTACGAGCAGTACGTGGAGCGGGTCGTGGATTCAAGCCGGTATTGGGTCTTGAAGATTGCCATGGCCTCAGAGCCATAAAGATGAATGTTCCCATTGGTGTAGATGTTTCGGATGCACAGGTGAACGGAGCGCGCCATGCTTTCATTGGCTTCGGTTTCAGCGACAGCACACCAATTTGCAAGCAGATTTTTAGTTGAGTATCGCCGCGACGCCAGTGCTGGCAATGATGCAAATCAGTGACCATTGATGAGTTGTTTCACGCCGACATCTCAGGAGGCGATGCTTTTGACTTCAACGCGTGCTTAGCAGATTTCAAGGCTTTGTCACACACGGTCATAATTTTTGTTTGGTTTACGGTAGTCAATGACACCCCTTGAGGCGACATGGGTGGACAAAGAGAAAGAAGCAGCGGCAATGGAAGCATTGCCACAGTTGCTTGGAGGGACGGAGAGTTCTGGTTTCAAACGTGCAGGAAATTCTGGAAAGTTCTGTGTTGCAAGGAAAGATTTGTCGTTGAAAGACGGACAAACATTTATGGCCACCCGGTGCTGCACATTCGTTCATTCCACGGCAGTTTCTGGATACTGCCACATTGCGTTGTTTTTGGTTTCTCTTTGATACCGAGGTGAATTTGCCCGGAAGAAGCGGCAGGCATGTAAAGTTACATCCGAACAGACATGGGCAATTTAGATGCCGACGGAATTATTTGACAGGAGAAGGGAGCAAGCTGCAAGTGAAACTGCAAGCGGCTATGGCATGCTAGCAGGCATCTTAGTGCCTACACATGCCTACACCATGATGTGCCGCGACAGACTTCTTGCGCAAGGGGTTAATGTCACTCAGGCTCCGCCACCATCATCTGCGAGTGTTCCTCTGCAGGCCATGGACGCAGCAAACACAGATTTCAAGCTTGTTGCGCCTGGTTTCATGAATCACGGAGGCACGCAAAGCTACAGAGGCGAGCGGATTTGATGGCGATATAGCGCAGCCTAAAACCCCTATGTAAGGTTTCAGACTGCTTTCATTCCTGGTTGGAGCCTTCCTTGTAGACACAGGCAGATGAGTTCGACGATTTCGCTGATTTTCAGTCTGCTGCTGCGGCTGCTGCCGAGACTACTGCGCCATGATGGTGAACGAAAAGAGACTTCGCTGAACAGTGTTTGCCAATTCTGAATGTGTTTCGGAAGGCTGAAAACATGTAATCAGACAGACACAAGAAATCAGACGCATGTGGGATGCAGGCAGATATGTTTTTGCGTTTTCAGCCGTCCAGCTGTGGTGTTCTGTGCCGGGCTCACGTTTACGCTGAACAAAGTCACCCAGTGCACGTGCACCCTGCACATTCGAATCAAGACTTTCTGTTGCACCCGGCTCGAACAGCAGTACATCTGCAGACGAGTACTGATGAAGATAGCAAGAATAGCACAAGACAGCTGCCAAGACCAGTCCGAAACTCTCCAAAGATTTACCATTACGCTTGACCGGTTTCGGCAGCTGCACATCGAAATCTTCATTCTTTCAGCACGGACCCCAGCCCCATGGTGAGTGCACCAAGGGCTTGCAGTTGGTTGTGCTAGGAGGGAGACGACGTAGGTGTAATCATGTTGTGATGGGCGCTGATAGAGAAGTTGTCGGTGTGTGTAAAAGTGCAGCACGAGAAGTGGCTTGCACTGTGGCCTGACGGTGCAGCCCCACTCGCGTCCCAACAGGGCGTCCTCAGGTTTGTTGGGTGTAACATGCGCCTGCAAATTAAGTTAGCGGTTCCTTCTCGTGGTCCCTTCACGATATCCTCGCCGTGCTGGGGCTTCGGGTTTGGACTGTTGGCGGTCTTGGGTTTTCGTGATTCAGGACTCAGGGTCTGCAGAGAACGTCTGACTGCGACCGTGCTTTTCTCTGCGTACAGCGCCCTTCCAGGCTTCGGGTTTACCGCTTGACGGTTGCATTAGGGTTTCGTGCTCTAGTTTCGGGTCGAACCCCGACATCCAGATCCACAGATTCCACAGTCAGTGGCGAAAGCAAAAGCATTTTCGCTACCAGATCATGCAAGCTGACGTCAATCGCCCTTGCGAAGGTTGCGTTCTTGAGCGGACGTTACATACTTTCTCCACATTGCAGGATTTGTCGTGTGCTGGACGTTTTTTCACCTTGTGTCTTTCATTTCATCTTCTACCCATGTTCCTGCCCACTTGCTTGGCCGCCTTTTTTCTTTACTTCCGACCTGCTTATGTCGCTACCTCTCGATTTTTATGCCTGTCACTCCTGTATCTGGTTGCCTGAAGGCAGTCGGAGTAGGTTACCTGGTTATGGTTACCATAGCTGAAATATTGCGACTCCTCCAAAGCCTAGAGCATAAACCCCTAAACTCCTCAAGCCTAAGCCCTATAAACCATGAGCCCCAAAGCCTAAACCTTAATCCCTGAACCCTAAAGCCTAAAACCCTAAACCCCTAAACCCTAAACCCCTAAAGCCCCAAACCCTAAACGAGGCCGATATAGGCTTCAGGAACAGTCACCCACTCGGGCATCGTTAGGCTTGGCTTTGGGGTGGCGGTAAGTGTTGACTTCGCTGCGTTCCGGGATTTCCAGCTGGACGTTCTCCAAGGTTTTGAGTAGTAGTGAGTAGAGATGCCCGGCAATTTCGCTTGGCAAGCATTCCTAGAGGCGCCGGAATTGAATAGGTTGAGACCAAATTTCCAAGCACAAGTCCTGATGCTTGAATCCGAATCCTTACAGCCAAGAAGTAGAAACCCACAACCATAAAGCCTACCTTGCCAGGCTTGTCCGAGTGTGAGTGCCAAAAAACCCTACACCCGCAACGCCTTAAACGTCCCTGCACCCGATAAGCCCTAAACCGTCTGTCTGAACCCGGTCTCAGAAGGACTCCGAAACGAGAGCACGATTTGGAAATGCGGAGCCAAAGTGGGATGAAACCTGGGACAGCTGAACTTTCCAAACGCCGAAATCGTGACAGTGCGTGCACATAGCTGTGCCGTAGAACCTTGGCATTGGCAAAATGGCCAAAGTCAGTGCACTGCAGTCCCCCGCTCAAAAGGTTAAGAGTGCAAGCTGCAGTTAAACATTTCCAAATGTCGCATGTCGACTGCCAGGTGTGATGGCGGAGCGCGGGTCCTTGGATTCCTTGGTGGTCAGTGTGGGGTCAAGCCTCCTTTGCTGAGCGTTCTCCAAAAGGCTCGGTGAGAGCGGTTCTCTTCCTGCGGCGGCAGAGGCCTTGCTTTACATTGTTTTTTCGAGTCTCAGCGCATCCTGGATTCACAAGCTGCCGCAGTCAAGGACGCGAAAGAGCTCTGTCTGCAGACACGCGCGGCAGGTCCCATATGATATGACTGCCTTGCTGGTGCAGGCAGTGCCGGAAAGCACTCCGGATGCTTGCAGCTTAGTCACTTAGTCATCTCGCCACTGGTTTTCTGTGCGCGGAGTTTTGCTCAGGTGCCGGATGAGAATGCAGCCAAGGATTCAGGTGAAGCGGAGGCAAGGCGGTACCAAGTATTTGGCTCTTTGGGCTCTGCGCCGTGGCATTGTGTCAGGACGTGTCAAATACGTGGCAACCTCACGGCAAACGGGCATTCCATGGGTTCATGAGTCGGTATGAGCCGTTGGGTCGGCTGCGTTGCCTTTCGAGGATGGCTTCTGTGGCGCCAAACGCTGCTCCAGGGTCAGCATCCAAGTCGAGATGCAGAAATCGGTACCCAGTAGCTGCTGAATACTGCTCCTGTTCGGCTGCTTGGCTATGTTCGAGTCTGCGTCGCGTGAGAATGCAGTGTAGCATTTTCTGATTGAGAATATTCAGAGCAGCATCGATAAGGTTGTCCAGTCGCCTTTGGTACTGTTTGGTACACCTGAATGTTGCGCGGATTGTGATTATATCCGCTTTCTCACTGGGTTGAAGAGTCTCCCTCGACGCTGCCAGGTTTTGCGGCTCAACGAGCTCTAGGAGCGCTAGGCTAGCAGCTAGGCGAGAATATCTCAGGACCAGAGCATCACGTCAGCACAGCATCGCACAAGAAGTAGGTTATTAAGCTGACAACTCGCGATGCCGCGCGAACGAGAACTGGAAGGGTCGGCCCGGGATGTGGACGAAGTGGAGAGCCTCGTGGACAAACTCCGCAGTGGCCAGTTCTCAGATGCCATTTCCGCAGCTCAGCGAGCGACCGAAGCACAGGAGGAACAGATGTGTCTCAGACCTGATGGCACAGTGAAGAAGGCTGACCCTTTGTCAGCATTTGTACATGTCGCTTCGGCACCACCAGGTCCAGAAAGCGTTGACCCAGATGATGAGCTCAAGAAGTTGCGTGAAGCCAGAAAGGCCCAGCTGCAGAAGGAGAGCCTGTGGAAGAAGCAGGGCCACGGATCCCTGCGTGAGCTGGCAGATGAAAAAGAGTTTATCGAGACGATTGCACCGCACGAGCAAGCACTTCTGCTGCTCGATGACGGTCGGTCACCTGCAGGTGAAGAATGCCGAAAAGTTTTGGGCCGGTTGGCCGGCAAGCATCTGGAGACCCAGTTCTGCTGGCTACCAGCGGACCGTGCGTTCTTCCTGACGCAGATGGTCGATCTTGAAGCACTTCCGACAATCTTTGCATTGAGATATGGAGAAGTGGTGAGACATTTGCCGCCGTCCCGGCTCTTTGCATACTCATCTGCAAGCTCACCGCTATTTCCCCGACATCTTTCAAAAGCTCTTTACAGCATCAACATGATTGACAATCCTGACGACGACAGTGCATCCAGCGGTGATTCGGGGGATGGCTTCTAGCCTCCGCCCGGCATCCTGAAGTCTGATTTTGACTCTGAGCACATGAAGAAACGATGCCCCTCTGGACTTGCGCATGTCCTCGCTTCTATAAGCCTGCAATAGCCTGCACTTGCTTGCCTATCTGAGGCCCAGTGCAGAAAAGCTCAAAGCAATTGAGGTTCAACCGGCTTGCTGTTCCATCCCGAAGTCGTCTAGCCTCGGCTTGCCGGCAGGAACTCAAAGCTGCCATTCGCGCTGCGGCAGCCAAACCCAAGGCAAAGCGCAAAGAAACAGAGGAGCAGCGGGGCAGTTTCTGAATTTCAGCAAGCCGAAAGAATGCTGGCTACATCCTGCAGGAACTTGTGCTGTTCTGCCAGTGTGTGAAGAGCCTGGTGCGGTGCTTGCAATGTGGAGCTGTGCAGCTGAGTCTACCAATCTCCAGTCTGGCCGCCAGGCTGGCAGCAGTGAGATCTGTGTGCAACTTAAAGAGATTCTGCCAAGGTGCCCCCTTTGAAGCGGCTCTCTGGGAAAGCATGCTCTCGGGCTCTTGTGGGATTTGCTTCCTTTCCGGCCAGGATCGGCGAAACCCATTTGGTTCCTCTCATGGGGATCAAGCGACCAGCACCTCGCCCCGTGGAGAAGCCCAGCGTGCCGGTCACGCGAGACGCCAAGTGGGGCCAGTTTCCCGCAGGTGGCAACATGCAGCATTCCCCTCCTTTGCAGGGCCAACCGTGCAGTCGGGAGGGTGAAGAGCTACAACACCAGAAAAGGTGGTTACCGCCTCTGCTGTCTTCATGAATCTCAAGCATTCTTGTGGCCAGGCTTTGGCTTTATCACCGTGCCAGACTTTGGGCGTGACATTTTCGTCTACAACTCCCATCTGATTGGACGTATCGGCTCGGGGCCCGGATTCAGCATAATGCCTGCTTGAGCTTCTCTGCTTTAGTATTTAGGGCAGGGTGCGCAGTTGTAGCTAGTTCTCGAACTTTGCGCCTCAGGTCTAAGCAGAATCTAGCTGATGTGGTGCCCAGGACTCCTTGCAGGGGAGACGGTGTCCTTCGACCTCATTGTCGAAGGTGGCCGGCCGCAAGCGCGGAATGCCTGGAACCTTGGCCGTTGCGGGCATTATCTGCACACAAGAATGCCAGGGAAAATGGACTGAGGTGAAGGTGCTGGGAGGGGATGGTGGCGCTCTGACCCAAGCCGTGGCTGGCTGTCCTGGCTAGCTTATTTCTCGGGGGCGCGCATGCGAATCCCCAAGGTTCCTGACATGATCGGCCAGAACTCGGTGGCAGAAGCGAAGAAGGCCCCAGGGTGTCCATGTAAGAGCCCTAGGGGTATCGAGGGTCCGGGTGCCGATCATCGCAGATTGGACCCGGCGGTTTTCCTTGTTTGAATAGACGGTGCGAGGTCGTTGTAGAGCATTCTAGATTGTAGAAGCTGGCGGCTTTTTTTGCTTGCTTGCTGCAGTGTGCTGAGACAGTCCTTGGTCGCTTCGATGTTGCGGAACAGGCTTTAGCCTGCCTGGATACAGACCATTTACCCGTCCTTGAAAACCCTCAGCCCGAACCAGCAAAACCCAGCTCGGAACCCAATCCCCGTGGCCACTATACACGAGCCCTCGGCTCCTGCCGGTGACTCAACTCGAAACCTTCAAAATCCTGCAGTCCTAGCTGCAAAACCAAGAATGGAGCAGCTCCAATCTAAGAGTCCTTGCAGCCTAAACCTAGCCACCTGAGGCAAAACCTAAAACAACCGGGCCCCAACCAGCCTAGTACCTCAAAGGCGCCGCGGTTTGGGATCCGGCTTTGGGATGGCAGCCGTTGCGGTAGGATTTGGGTTCCCGAATTTGGGTGTTTAGGTTTATTTTTATTTGGGAGTTTTTTCATTTTTTGTTTCCTGTTTCCGGCCCAGTGCTTGTGTGGTAGGTGATTTTCAGCAAGTGAGCGCGAAGCATTACCACATCGTGTGTTCCAGTCGCGTGCGTATTGCTGCGCTTGCGGGTTTTGCAATTTTCGCATTCAGTGCAAGTTTCGTCGTGTTCGTCATTGTGGCAGAAGAAGACTTTGGAGGCGGAGCAGGAGCAGGAGCAGGAGCAGCGACATCATCCATCCCCATCATCAGTATCAGCATGAGTATGTTGCAGGGCGAGTATCATATTTTTGCAGCCGCATCAGCTGCAACAGCACGGCGGTGGTAGCAGTTCACGGTGTGCGGCGCTGTCGAAATGGACAAGCACGGGCGCCGCTTTCGCGGCAATGTGGTTTTCAAGTGCCAAGGTTTCTAGTACCCCCTAGATACGAAAGGTGTTTGATAATGCTTGTGATTGCGGTTCAATAGTTTTTTTTGGCAGGCGCTGGCACAAGGGCCACGAGCTGGAAATCTCCCCTCGAGTTGCTTGGCTTGAAATCTGAACCGCAAAGGCAGATCATTTGGCCACATGGCAATCTGATGCCATATGACTGATCGACGACATGCTGACCCGCGGAGTTCGATGTGCATCAAGTGCATAGGTTCAGCCGGTTCAGCCCTGGTCTGTTTGCACAGTACAGACAAAGGTCAAACCTCAGTGCGCGAGATGACACTCGCAATGGCGGCAGCAGCGGCCGAGGTGCATCCGTGTCATGACCAAAGATGGAATGCCCTTGTTCCTGCTTGAGTTCGCTGACATTCAGTATCATTGATTGACATCCCAACGCCACAGCCATGCAAATTGGAGGTGCCGACGACTTTGCCACAAAAGAAGCCACAGCAGGACGAAACCCGATTTTGAGCAGACCGTCGTGCGATGCATGTCTGGCAGGAGCCCAGGAGCGCGGAGGAGCTTCTGAAGGAGCAGATTCGGAAGGCTGAACATATTCACTCACGATCATTGACATGCAAAACCTGTGTGAAGATCGGTAAGTTGATGTAAGCTTGACCTCGGTCTGGTGCAGGCCCAGACAGAAGCCACGACGCGCAAGACAGCCCCCATCGTGAAGTTGGGGTCTTGGAACTGCCCCGCATTTTTGCTGTGAAGCGCAACAGAGACCTAAATCCTATGTTTGATGACACTTGACCACCTGCCGACGAGCCTGTGCCATGTCTCGGAGGCATGTTCCATTTGGCGGGTGTCAAACCGAGGCAGCCGCCAACCGTCAGCTTTGGTGGGCAGTCAGCACCTTAAGTCAAATGAGTCTGCAACTACCCGAAATCGCGTCTGGGCCCAGACGGTTGACACGTGCCTGAATGCCCGGAAGCGACAGTCCAGTTGCCATGTCCATTCCTGTTGCGCCTAAGTGGGAGGCAAGATGCGCGACCGCCGCCCTCGCCTGAGGGTGCACCACTGCGTCTCAAAGACCCGGTGGGGCCGGTTCATGGAATGATTCGTGACTGCAGCCTGGATTGTCTTAATCCTACGTAGCCTGAGGGCTACAGAACATGAGGGTAACCTCCCGAAAGGCTGGGCCTCTGCAGCTTGGCGGATAAAAGCACCTCCTGCTGAGCCTGCAGGCAGTACGGTTCGCGTCGTGGGGTTCCCATCTCCGGACGTCGATGGCTGCCGGGACCCTGATGATACTATGCGCGCTGGTTCCCTGCTGTAGGCGCTAGCTTCACTGCAACTTCCTCGTTCTCAGGGAACGAAGGATCTCGGATCGTGTTAGAGGAAATTGTTGGGATCTCTGTATTTTGGGTCAAGGAGGCACCCGCAGGAGCGAAGTCTTTGGCTCGAGCCAAGTGTCCAAAATGCCATGACAGCTCCATGAAGGCCCGGAGCCGGAGAGCCGGAGCAGAGAAGTCTTGACTCTTCCAGGGAGCTTTTGGCGCCCTGGCCTCCAGGTGAAGGTTGTGCGGAAGCGGAAGCCGAAGGAGTCGCCGGAGGAGACAGAGAGTGCTCCAAAGGAGCCAGCAGCTTCATGGCAAGCTCAGGTGCTTCACTGCTTGAATCCTCAGCCGCCGGACGGCTAAGGCACCCAAGCGCAGTGGACCCTTGTTAAGCCAGAGAGGCAACAAGAAAGCCAAGGCCGTCACGTTTCCTTTGCTATGCCGTGCGCGAGAGAAAGTGCTTCTCTTGCCAACGCCTTGCATGGATCCCTGCGAAGGCTCCCCTTACAGTTTCTCAGCGACAAGCTCGCCGCATGGAGGGCACATACTGCTGGAAGACAGTGTTGTCAATGACGTGTAAGTGCAACATGTGCAAAGGCAAGTGTTGAGTTATTTAGAGCCATTTAATACAGGGGATCTCGGAGAGACCTCATGCATCCTCATGCTGTGGCAGACCCCAGGAAACAGACGGTTAACAGAGCAGTTCCGCGACGATCGCCTCCGAGCATCCTTCGGGAGGTCCAGGGACAACGATCCTGTGAATCGAAAGAGCTTGGGCTGCCATTGCGCTTTCGCGCGCTCAGCTGGCGGTGCTTGCATGTGTGTAGCCATTTTCTTGGGATGCTTTTCCCCGGTTGGGGCTGTGAGATCTCAGGAAGTCCTTGATTCCGGAGGAGCTACTTGGTACATTGGTGGCCTGTAAGGGCGAGGAACTTCACCCTTGTGGCGCAGGGTCTTTGGTTTGGTTCATTCGGGATTGCAGCATCTTTCGACTTTCCTTTCCTTCCCCATTCCCCGATAGGATTACATGATTCCCAAGATTCTGGCCAGGAGAAAAAGGAGCCTGTGGTTCCGAAACAAATGAAGTCATCGTGATACCTGCCTTCAACATTTGCTTCGGGAGTTGTCACAGAACATGGAGATGTCAGTAAGCGGAGCCGCATTGCCCTCAACCCTTCTGAGTCTAGCGCGTTGGGGTTCTGTTCTCAGAAACTGCAGGTGGCACATGTTGCCACGGGTCCAAGTAACTCGCTAGCTTTCTCTGGCGACGAGAATGTTGACGGCCAGAGGTTGTGGGAAGACGGGCAAGAAGTTGCTCCGACCAGGAAGAAGGAGACGGCCTTATTTACATTGATGGCCGCTGCTTGATATCCATGCGATGGTGCTATGACAGCAATGTTTCTCAAGGTGAGCAAGCTTGGGGAGAACATCGAGGCACTTTCAAAGAAACCAGATGCCCAGCTTTCTGATTTGCTGACGAAGGCAGGGCGCATCTGTGATTCAGAAGCTGTGCTGCCGGTTTAGGTGTTGACGGGGTCATGACACGCAGTTTGCATTCAGGATAGTTCCAAATGTTGTGAAGCTGGTGCCGCACCCACTGCCCATCCAAATCAGAGACGCTGCAGAGGCACTGCAGAACATGAGGAAGGGCGTGTGACGGGCCAAAGTCGTAGATGGTAGTGATCTAGTAGTGACCTTGGTGGTGAGAGATCAGAGACGCCAGACCGGAGCCCTGGTCGCTGAACTCAAAGTCGGATAAGCTTTACTCGTCTTTAGTTCTTAGCACGACCAAGGGTTGGTGTAAAAGGCGTCGTTTGTCTGACTCTTGGAATAGTTCCTAATTCAACCAATGCTTGGCGCCGCAAAGACATCAGGCCTTCAGAGGCACGGGGCGCAGCAGCCGTTACGGCTTTGCATCCAGAAAAGCTGCATGTGCCGGATCTGCTGTGCTTCGCGGTGCTGAGATGAGCAGCCAGACCTCCCCGAGGCACTGGGACGGTCACCGGCTACGACCCTCAAACTAGCCGGTACAATGCCAGACACCCAACTCGACTCAATGTTTTAAGTTTTCTTGCATACTTCACGCTCTCTCACCTGTCTTCGCATTCAGGTAGATGTCGAGACGCCGTGGGGCTCAGACATGCTCCAGCTGTGCAGAGTGCAAGAGGCCAAGCAAAGTTTGCCTTTGCAACAGGCCCGGTGGAGATATACAGATGATGTCGCATTAGCCTCAGCGAAGCTTCCCCAGAAAATGCTGAGAAATGTGGCTTCGTTCAGCTGGCAGGCTGCGGGAGGAGTACTTGCAGCTCAGCGACAAGGCTCGGAACTCGGCCTGCGTCGCGTGCCTACAAGTGTGCCGTATCAGGCCGCGGCAGACGGTGGGAAGGCGTGTCCTGCTGATCGTTGCCATTGCCTGTTGTATCTGGTTGCCAGATGCCCGCAGGCTGTGCCAGCTGCACCACCCCCACAGCTACCAGGCTCTACACCGCTGAATCCAAGTTCTTCGGGTTCACAAATCGGTAAACCTGGTTTTTCCAACGTGAGCTTCGCGAGGTGGTAGCAGTCAAGGCCTGCAGAAGTCAGCTGCTGATGCTCTGAGGCCGTTCAGGGCTGCAACGCCAGCTTCGTTTCTCAGCATTCTGCCCCATAGATATAGCTGGAGGAAGTTTGGCCAATGGACGACCCAGTACGGGTCTTTGTTCCGACCCGTGCGGTCATTGGAAAGGAGATACTGTTCATGACCGTAGCGCTTAGGCAGGGAGCGAACAACATGCCGGCTGCTAAGTGCCATGACTCAGCTGAAGTCTGCTGCATGTTTTGTAGTGTGGTCAGGCAGATGTCGCAAGGAGGCAGCAGATGTTCCAGAAAGGCATGGGCTGCATGGAGCTGAGCTGTTGCAATCAAGCCAGGTGGATGTCAAGCAGGAGGACCGACCAGGCAGGGCCAGCAGGGTAGATCTTTGCGCATTGCATTGCCGATGATCCTTGCTGCGCGTGGTCTGTTCCGAGGCAGCAGCAGCTACAGGCAAGCTTTGCACGAAACCCGTCATGCAGCTCACAGATTCGAAAGTGTTCGAGGCCATGCAACAGGCCCAGATGGGGCCCGGCCTGGCACACAGCTGGTGTGCATCGCAGCATCGCTAAGACACATGTCAGGCGAACGAGTTTTGTTACTGCAGGAGCCATGGGCAACAACATGGCAGGTGCTGGGCAGATGAGGCCTGCTGTCTTGCGTTGAACTCGTGGTCGATCACAGTTGCTCGTGGGCTCAGTTCCGACATGATTGCAAGGCAGCCACATCAGGCACAAGCATGAAAGGTATCCTGAAAAACCAGGTCTTACTGCTAGTCAGTGAAGGCATTGGGGCTGTTATGCAAGGCAGTGAGACAGTGAGGGCAGAGCAAGAATCAATGTAGCTCGCACCTGTGCGCCGCTATGTCGGACGCCGATCCGTTAGATAGATACGAGCTGGCGAATTCACGGCGTCCTGAGGTGACTCTGCTTCGTCTCGTGAAGATCTTTCCTGATACAGTAATTACACTGCATGATGGCAACAGCAGAGTCTCGCAAATTAAAGACAGAAGCACCAGCACCCACCCTGTGGACGGTTCAGCTAAGATTGAGTCTTTGGGTGACGAGCTGAAGAGGGATGGCATCGAGGTGACTGAGCAGGCAGTGCTGCCGAGCTGGTTGGAGCCGTTAATCATTTTTAGCCAGTTAAAGCGTCAAAGTTGCTCCCGGTCGGACTGGACAGGAATTGCTTGCCTTCCTCCGTGCCACGAACTTTGACCAGCAAGAAGCCCGGGCGAGGCTCCTCGACACAACGGAGTGGCGCGCTGCCACCTTGGTCAAGGACATGTGCTGCCAGAACATCACATCGTTGGTCGCACGAGCCGCTTAGATCTGCTGCATGACAGGAGAAGCTGCACTGCAGAGATTGGCGTGCAAAGGAGCTCGCGATGAGAAGTATCCTGCTGTATGTGCCATGCCCGCACGAATTCGAGCTGGTGTGTTACTTGTCTCCGGACGCATACATCACTGCCGCCGTATGGAAAGGATTATGTTGGTGCAGACAGACATGGGCGGCCACTCCTCATTGAGAGGGTCGGAGCTTGGGACATCCAGGCTGTGCTCGATGCGACTGAAGACCTGGAGAAGTTCACCCTGTTGCATGCCATGGCCGACGAGACATTGCTGCAAATGAAAAGGCCGACGACCGCCAAGGACCCTCGTGGCTTTGTTCTGATCGTTGACATGGAGGGGCACCCTGGCTCAAGCTTCATCGGATGTTCCATACGCCCTTGAAGCATCGAGACTGCCTCCTCCAACTTGGGATGCATCATCAGGCTGGGCATTTGGCACCTTCACCCGCGCCTTATCTCAGCCTTTGCTGCAGTCAGCCAGCAACCTGGCTGAAGATGGACTCTTTAAGGCACACGCTTCAACATGGCCAGACGCAGGAGATGCTACTGCAAAAATGTGCAACGGCCATAGCAAGTACATGTCGAAAGGGAGAGAGATTTATGTTCCCAGTGACGATGGTAGATCATGTCAAACTTCAATGTTTGAAAACACCTCGACAAGTCGACATCCTGTGTCTATCAGTCTTGTTTCCCCGAGCCTTGTGTAAGAGAAGAATCAACGAACCGCCTTGCTCAGACTACCGTAGTGGCGTGCCCTCGCAAGCGAAGGCTATCCGCGGTCCTTGCAAGTGGTTTTTTGCCGTAGATAGCCCGAAACATAGGGCGCCAGCAGCTACCAGCAGAGCCAGTCGCATGCTTTCTTTTAGCTTCCGAACGCATTGTGACCAAGCGGCTACTTGCAATGCAACGGCGCTCCATTTGACATCTGAACCAACGTTCCCGTTTTGCTTCGTGTTCAGGTCACAGTGTATCAAACAGGGCCTGCTACTGGGTTCGGGGCAAGCTCGGCATTCGGGACAGGTTAACTGAAAGATTGCAGTGCGGCTAAGGATAGACGAATCGCACTATCCTGACACCGTTGCCGACATTTTCGTGGTGAATGCTCCGTGGTACTTCACATCCCTGTTCCTTGGCCGAGTCCTCGCCCACCCGAGAACATGGGTTTTTTGTTGAATGGGAAGGAAGCCGCACATCGTTTCTTGCGAGGTTTGCCATGGTCCGTCCCTTTTTGCCGCCAGTTTGAATTGGGTTACCGAGAGATTTTAGAGTCTCGAAAGAGAAGAAGTCTCTCTCTTCCCAGGAATGAGGACACTTACACCAAGATCCATTTCAGCAGATGCGTGACTTGGCCGGGCGGCCGCCTTGGCGCCTTTCCCGACTTTGCTTCGCTTTGAGGTTCCGGAGGAGATGCTGCAGTGCCTCGGAGAGGACTGCAGTTTCGGATGCTTTTCGTGGGAGTCGAAACTTGTGTTGCTGGAAACCTGGCGAGGACTGCTTGCCTGTCGAGCTTGGTGGGTCGCGTCCCTTGGCTTTGCTTCAGCTGACTTTTCGGTGCGATTCACCTTTTGCACCTGGCGGTCGCCGCTGGCATAATGCTTTTTGCAGGTGCTATTGTTCCGAACGCTGTGCGCGATCTGATCTGCAGGTGCTGGTGTTTTTCCATATTGTCTGGATGCGTCGCCATCGCGGCACCCTGAGCCTTTGGTGGCGGCCGTTCCGACCTAGCTCACGGCAAGCGCAGTGCACTGCGGAAAATGGTACACCTGCAATGACCAGCAGCTATGTAGCAGGGCAACGGGACCAGCTGGCGACTGAGATGGGATACGTACATCGCTGTGCATGGTCCAGGATGGATGCCATGATGAATGTCCATATCCTAGTTTTTCGCGGAGCAACGGGAGCATCTTCTGCGGGTGCAGCACGCCGAAGGCCGGCGGCATGTCATATGCCAACGCTGGGATGCAGGCCTCGTGCCTTGATTTGATGGCTGCTACGCGGCTGCGAATACACGATAGCACTAGTCTTCTTGATGTGCGAGGGCAACCGGAATCCTGTCGATGCCATGCGCAGCCAGAGGACTCGGTATGGTGTTCAAAGTGCGGGGGCTGCTGAAGCAGCATCCTCAAAGCCGCCCAGGTGCTAACAAGCTGTCTGGCATGGGACCCAATCAGCAGTGGCCCCAGACCTCTAGTTAAGCACGTTGCTGGAGAGCAGATTCCCTTCCCAGGCAGATTCCGCCAATGGGCATGGCGCAGGATGGACATCTGTCTTCAGCACCCGTCAGTAAGTTGCGCAGAGTGCCGCATGGCAGGCAAGAGGGAACCAAGGCGGGGCTGCAAAGTCAACGTCCGAACATGACTGCAGCACGTGCTTCCCAGGCGCAATGCTTTGCCCTCAGACTGACTTCATTGAGACACGATCCCGTGCACGTTTCAGCCAAGGAATCAAGTGCCAGAGGAGCAGCTCAGACAGCAGCAACAGCAGTGCCTGAGCCGAAATTAGACAAGCACTTTTGTCGCTGCTCTCTGCTTGTGACCGAGGATGGCCCTGGCAGCACAGCAGCGTGAGCTCGAGCAGCTTGAAATGCATCGACGAGAACAGCAGCAGCGAGAAATACAGCAACAACGTGAACGAGATTTGCAGCAGCAGAGGGAGCTACAGCAGCAACAGCAGCAACAGCAGCTACAGCAGCAACAGCAGCAACAGCAGCAACAGCAGCAACAGCAGCTGCAGCAGCAACAGAGAGAACTGCAACAGCAGCAGCAGCAGCTGCAGCAACAGCGGCAGCGAGAAATGCAGCAGCAGCAGCGGGAGCTACAGCAACAGCAGCAAAGACAGGCGCCTCGTCTCCACACAATGGTACCCGACAGAGACGAATGCCTGGGAGATTTTCCTTGATGCTTCGGGCTTCAGGTATTTCTACATGAGCAAGTGGATCTCGTGACTCCTGTCGTCCTACTTATTCTCAGTCATAGCTGTACCCGGATCAGGACTTTCTCGGGGTGCACTTGGCAAGGAAGGCTTTTGTTGCTAGGGGGCCCAACATTCCAGAAAGATGGGCTGTAGGGAGCGACTTGAGGCATCTTGAAACCCTCTTGGCCTCGGTAACATCTCGGCAACGCAGGCTTTGCAGCAGAACCAGGCGCAGCAAGCTCAGCAATCGCAGCCTCGGCCAGCCATGCAGCAAGCGCCAGTGGCTAAGTCTCCGCTGATGTGGTTCTTTAATGGTGGCCGCATTGAGTGTCGGCGTGCCCAGGCAGGCAAAGCAACCTTCGCCTCCAGCGCGAGCTCCTCCTGCGACGTCTGCTTCTCAGAGCCTGCCGGTCGATTGTCCAGATCGGCTTTTGGAGATCCGCCGAGCCTTTTCGCTCAATGTGGTGTCCGTTGTCTGCAGCTTGCAGGGGCTTCATAGAGCAGTGCAGACAAAGGCTTTGTTCTCTTTGCTCAAAGCTTTGTTCCCCAGTGTGCTTGCGGGTGCCATGCGGACCATAACCTATGGGCCTTTTTGTCACTGTTATGATATGTACCGGCAAAAGGGCCGGGTGGCTTGCCTCGCCTTACATGATCACGCCCAGGGGCGGAGCACCTGAGGGCCGCGGGGACCTCAGTTTGGTCTTTGGATGTCTGTGCCCTCGTGCCAATCTCGTGCCCCTCGAATGTGAAAAACTAAGGCCCGGGCCAGGTGTGGGTGGTGTTGCTCCGCGCTCGGGGGTGCTCTCTCTTGCCAGCTTGTCCCCTTCTTTCACATCATGCTGATGAGGAAAAGCAACCACTTCAGCGATGTCATCGTGTCTGGATCCGAGAACTTATTGTGCAGAGCACGTCAGACCGTGTACGGTTCCTCTTTTATTGCACGTACACCATATGCCATATGCACTTGCTGCATGGATGGTTTCAGCAACTCACTGGCTGAAGGCGTGCCTCGCAAGAGGTCACAAGCCGAGAATTGCGGAGGCTGAATCCAGGGGAGGCGGGCCGGGATGGACCCGTTAGCCAGTGCGGAGCTACTGTCGGCACATACACGTGTCAGACAAAAGCACGCAGCAAACGGCTGGAAGGCTGTTTCAGGGATATCTAGATCAGGAAATGCGGTGCACTGCAATCCAGTTAGTCCAGGTATGCGATGCTGCAGGTCTGCAATTGCCTCCGAGACAAAATTGGTTGTAACGGCTGTGCGACGTGCGGGCTTCCTGGCTTCGTGGCTGGCTGGCCTCTCACCTTCGGGGTCGTCTGCCTTCTTGGATATCCAGCCTCTCTTCCGCACACCTGGATTGTTGTACAGTTAAACATCTGAACTTTACATGCTGAAGCAGGAGGCGCCCAAGAGGACGGTGACAGACAACGGAGCACATACGACAATACAATGCCAGCATAGACCCCAAATAGCGAAAGAGCACAAAAGAGCATCGAGCAGTCGAAGTCCAAGACATACAGGAGCACTCCCGAAGCTCCCAAGACTGCCCCTCGTGAACGCTGCAGGCGACAGCCAGATCAACACAACAGCACAAGCACGAAACTGATGAGAGCACGAGTCCCATCCCGACGTGTTGGCAGGATCATGATTTTTGGAGGTGCAAACACGAGTCGCAGAACAGATGTGCACCGTGCTGTGGCCGTACTGTTGCGGGAACGCAACTTTGGTTGTAGCGAAGTTGCATATCACGATGATGCGGTTTGGAGGAGGCGAGGATGGTGTGGGCCTGGTAAGCCTTGTTAAGCAGGAGCACGGCGACGGCCGGCGCACGTTTTTCCTGGCAGGTTCTCACGCAACGCGACATGACCATCATGCTGCCGAACGGCCTTGTGAGGATGCCAGTCCCTGTCTCGGATCTTGCGGTTTGGATGCAGCCAGAAGTGGCTGCCGTGGCTGAGGTTGAGCCAGATGGTTGGGTGACCGTCCACGCCTACATCTCAGTCCTCAGTCCGACCAATGTGTGTTGGTGCTGACAAGCGCAGACGGCGCGGCCCGACATACTCACAAAGCTACCGCTAAACTATTCAATTTTGTTCCTCTTCGTCATTGGGGGCACGCAGGAAACAACCAGTACAAGTCAAGCAGTCCTCAAGCTCTCAAAGGGCCAGTTCGACTTTGCAGATCTTTCGTTTGCATTTGGTGGATAGCCAGCAGGTGCGAGCAAGCTAAAGCGGTAGAGCAGTAGATGGTAGTAGCAACGGGGGAGCCTAAACATCGCTCAAGCATTTTGAGACTTCTTCTGCACGGAATGAAGAACAAACCAACAACCGACAAGGGAAAGGCCCATGTTGCCGTGAAGTGGGAGCCTCTTTGTCTATCGATAAGCTACTCCGGTGTGTCTGGAAGCTGGCTTCTCTGGATGTTGCGTGGCACATGCTGCCGCAAACAATGCCTTAGGCCCGCCACATCAATGGCCCAACATTCCTGTCAGAAGCACAAAACGAGGGGTGCAGAGCCTAGCAGTGCGTTGAGCTAGTTATCCAGCAGCATCGGCTTATTCACAGTGGTTTGTGCCTCAGGCCTGTGCCAAGAGGCCACCAGTGCTTTGCTCGCTTGCAGTTGTGTTTTCCTTCCGCGCTTGTTTGCAAGGCCCTGGCAGAGGCAGGACTGACTGACTGGGTTTGTTCGAGCGCATGACCGGAGCTTTCGCTGTGCTGATCTACTCGCACGTCTTTGCAGGTGCTGTCGTTCGAGAGGGTGGAAACCAGTTCGATCCTCACATCCGCCTGCTCAAGAAGCGAACTTGAGTGGCTCGTTGCTTCCGTGCCGAGGACGATGCCGCCACCTCCGCCGCCAACCCGAGAGAAAGCACAGGTCCTTCGTTCAATTCGTGTCCTGCAGCTGCATTCGTGCACTGAGTGGCAGGCACCAGACTACCGTCAAGGGCTCGGCACTTCTTGAGAAATCTTGGCAAGAATCCAGAAAGCTTGCAGTAATGACGAAGTCCTTCTGAAGCAACGACCTTGTGCTGAGTTCGATACTTGTACCAGAAAGAGGACCTGCGGATCGCCAGACGCAGTGGGAAAGATCGTGGGCCGTCTTAGTCCCGGGCCTTTGCAGGATCTGCTGCGCTACCGGAGCCTTGTCCAGGAGGCGTTACTGCTGATCCCCTCGTCGAGTGCACAGCCAAAAACCCAGAAAAAGTCAGGTTCCGGAAGAGATCCGGAGCTTCCGCGCGATCGTGGTGCCCAACTTCGGCAAGGCACGTGGGAAAGACGGGATGCGAGATGCCCAGCGCGAGACACGGCCAAGCTCGACACGGCGCGGCAAGCCACCAACAAAAGTTTGGGCTGCAACGCAGATGACGATGCAGGAAGAAGGAGATTTGTTCTCGCAACTGTGGACAGGCTGGGCGCAAGCGGAAGACACGTGACCGTGAGAGCCGGGTCTGGCTCCCGAATCGCTCAAAGCTCTTGGTCTGCTGTGTATGCTTCATCACTGCCAAGGAGTCCCAGCAAGAGGACCAACCGAAAGCGGCACCGTTGGTAGTCCGACTGACTTGTTGGTGCCTGAAATATGTCCAAGCTCTACTTCGCCAGGACGATGACGAAGGCTGTGAACTCGCCTTCGTGCACGGCCTTTGGCGACTCACGTGTTTTGCGCTGCTGTGGCGCCTGCAGGCCGCCCCAGTCGAGCCCCGCCTCCGCCGCCAGTTCGGGAGCGTGAGCAGCGTGAGGCACTGGCTGAACATGCAAAGGCTGCAGGGTAAGGTTTGGGCGTGCTTTGAGCCAGATGAAGGTCCCCAGTGCGCCCCCGGTGCGAGCAGCAACGAAGGCCTCTAGAAGCAATGGTGAGGGTTCAATGTTCAATTGCAGGCATGTTCTTGGCAGAGCCTGCGATGCCACAGTTATCGGTTCCGGGCATGGGGTAGGAGAAAACATCAGGCAAGGTACCCGGCATACCTGGTCCAGAGTACGCCAAGAACTGTCTGCCGAAGACGGTTCACCATGTTTCAGCTACCGTCACACAGCTTCCCCGGCAAACGTAGAACGGCGATGATTGACTGCAGCCCCGAGTCCCATGTTGCTGGTTTCTGCAGAAAATCGGGGATGCGTTTCCCGGACCGTGGGCGGCGGCCCTGCCGCTGGAAGTTCGATGAGCTGCGCGGCCATCGATCTGCCTGCTGGAGAGCTGGTGTCCAGGCTGAATATTTTATATGGCTGAATCGAGATCTTTCGACGGCTGCGTCGCCTGGCCTTCCTCTGTGTTTCTGAGGTCCGGGACACGCTGCAGCTGGAGGCGGGAGCCAAGGCCACCCGGCAGGTCCTGCTGCGGAAGGGTGAGCACGTCAGTTGGGTCTGTACTGTTGAAAGTTCTCTAACGCTGGACTTCATGGTGAAGCTTTCTTCAAGGAGGCCGCAGGAAGTTCGTTGCGTCGACCGGCCCCTGAGACTCCTTGGCGTCGACAAGGGCCGCATGGTGAAGGACCGCGAGCGTGGCTCCGTTTTTCAAGGCTACCTGGACCTCTTTGGCGAACATGCCGACTGTGTGAAGCAATCTGATACCTGTGAACCTGTTGCGACTCTGTATTTCGAGATGGACAACAGCTTCAGCTTCTTCACGGCCAAGGACATCGTCCTGCAAGTCTCGAAGCAGACGCTGCGAACTACACAGACACATCAGACACCTGACGCCAGCGTGCCAGCGCCAGTTCCTACCAGTTCGGAAGACAGCATGGAACCGGTGCAGAAAGAACCTACAGCTTCCGCCGCTTCCGCCAGTGCATCGACCTCCCAAAGCCGACCATGCTCTCTTCTGACGCAGCGCTCCGGAGACCTTCGCTTCGGCCGCTTGCAAACTCTCTTGAAGGACGCCATCCGCCTATGTCCAGCAGATGCCAGCGCGGCACTGGAGCACCTTCTCGCAGCACAGGCTAGGCTCCAAGAGTATGCTCAGCAAGCCGCTGAGGACGACCTGGGCCCCTTGAGCTAGCTCTTGCTGGCAAAAAAATGAGGTTTGCAACCGTACATCGTTGTCGCTCCTATCTTTGGGCTTGAGCTCTGCAACTGCTTCCTGCGGCCTTGCCAGGAGCCTCCTGAGGAGAAGAAGACCGGAGAGGACCGAGTGTATTCCGTGGTAGTGGTAGTGGTCGCAGAAGCAGGAGCAGCAGAACGAGAAGCAGCAAACACAGAGGCAAATTGCAGCAATAGCAACAACAGCAGTAGTGCAAAAAGCAATCGCAATAGTTCGACACTTCCTGTACGAGGTGCCTCCGTCACAATAGGCACTCTGTGTATGTATAAGTGGCAGGCCAAAGACGTTCTTTTCGAAATTTGACTGCTCTTGCAAAGCAGTGCGGAACGCTTTCAAAGGTACCACGAGGGACCGACGAGGGACATTGGCTGATAAAACTGTTGTTGGTGTTTTCGTTGGATGTGCTTGGACGGAGCATAGCATGCTTGCAGCATGCTTTCGGCATGCTGTCGCCCTGCCTATAGGGCCGAGCTAGACAGGAGCGCAAGGAGGCGTGCCCCACGCAGTAAGGACCGATGCCGAGCTTGAGGGCATGCAGTTGAGAGCCTTCTTTCTGCATGCGGCATCTCTTAGAAGAGTCGAGGTCAACTCGAGTCCGATGAAGGCGGAGGAGACCAGAGATGATTTGGCAACTGTTGCTGGCCCTATTTCAACTCATCTCAAGGGCCTTGCAGACCGCCCAGGCTGTGTTTGTCTCGATGTTAGGACTATGCATAGAGCGGTTTTCGTTCTCTGCAGGTCTCGCATGCCCGACGCGATTTTCATGTATAGATTTACATGCAATAGTAATCAATGTTCAGAGCTTCGCCGAGTTTCCCCTAGCTGTTGGCGAGTGGAATCGAGGGAAATACATCAGGTGCAGAACAGATCCGAACTTGGCGATGCTCCTCTTGTCACACGAAAATCTCAAAAACCAAATAAAGAGGCAGTCTATGCCCTATTTGAGCAAAGCTCGCTTTCAGTGTATGTGGCGCCTTTGGGTCATGACCTGCCCTTGAAATGTATCGTCTCTGCACTGCTTTCAATAAAACAGCCGCGAGCTGGATCTTTGAGGCTGCGACTCGTCCGTGGCAGTGTCTTGACTTGTAAGCCTGATTCCAAGCTTCGATGCTTCATGCGTGGAAGCTGGAAGAGCCTTGTCGCAAAGGGTGGCATCGTTCAATGTGATCAAGGTAGCAACACTTAAGCCGGGTGAGATGCCACCCAGCACAGTCGCGACCCAAATTGAGGGAATTGTCCTGCAAACGTGCCAAGTGGCTGCTGGGAATCGGTGAGCATCTTTCAGGCAAGTGCTCGATCATGAAACTGAGTAGTTAAGATAGTTAAGCTTTTTAAGCATCTGTCGCCTGCTTGGATGCAGGGAGGGTAGTTTGGGCATCTTCCATAACATCATTGCAACTGATCAGAGCGAGGCTAGCCACTTGTTGGTTTCTTTGACATGGCAGAGGGTCAGGTGCTGTTCATGTCGTAAAGTTTGGAAACGACGACGCTATGAGACTCGAGCAGCAGACAACCACAGCCTGCGGGCCCTGGCAGGTCCACTTGGCAGGACAGATTTCGTAAAATAGATGAAGCTTGCCTGGAAAATCTTGGAGTTCGTTGCCTCCGTCGCATAGCTGGAACATGATGCTTTTGCTTGTCGGCCTTGGCATAGTGCGCGACATTGTCGTGACTCGCTTTATCCTGCAAAGACCGCAGCATGATGACGCACTTCGGCTCGGCACAGGAAGAAGCAAGTCAAGAGTTTCACTTTCGGATCCCTAAGCATCTGCCAAGCAGATGTGGGGACGGTAGGCCCTTGCACCAGTCTTCGTCATTCACCCCGCAATCGCATTGCGTTGTAGGCGCAGTCTGTGTCGCGGCAGTTCGAGTTCTGATTTAGATCACAACACGCATGAGGAGCCAGACTTGTGGAGAGACAGGGACGCTCTGCATCGTTCGGTAGATCGGTATGTTTCGATGTGTCCATGGATGACTAGCATCTTTGGAGGCTTCCCCTGCGTCTTGTGATTCTTGTGGAGAGAGCCGGGTATGCTGGGGCAGAGTGAAAGGCAAGAGGCCCTCCTATCGGAGATGAAGAAGGCACACGGCCCACAGGCTGTAAGGCTGTTGCGTTCGCTTCGCTGCTTTCCGATCAGCGAAGGCATCCATTGCCATCCAGGTGGATGGGGCACTGCGCTCAAGGACGGTTTGACGACGTGTTTTGCCTGTGACGTTGTCAAGGTGCGGGCTCGGCGAAAGACTTTCAGGCCGTTACATTCTTCCGGTTTGATTCAGTGCCTAGGTAATCTGGGTGACCGTGAGAAGGCGTGGAGGTACTTTCACACATGAAGCACATGCAGAGACATGCCACGTTGCGGAGCTGCCACATCGTGCCAATGGCAATGGCCTCTATCACCTTTTGCCATTGTCTGCTAATGCCGATTGATGAGGCAGAGTGGCACCAGACGCTCGCTTGCAAGCTGAGCAAGACAGGATTTGTGGATGAAGCACACTGAGCTTGTAATGTCAGCCCTTCTAGGCGCAAAGACGACCGCCGGACCCTCACGAGGGCAGGCGATCATCGCTGGGCGCTTCCACTGCCGTTCCCTTCTCCATGTCGCAGGAAGAGAGGGATCTCATCCGAGCTCTTTCAGAGTTTGCGTTTGGAGCCCGCAGACAGTGCGCTGTGAGTCCCTTCTGCACCGGTTCCCGAGTTTTGCTGAGGCCGCAATCTTTGAATGCATTTGACGATGCATTCAATCTTCTCGATGGTGGGGTGGGAGTTGCTGCCGGCACCTTTATCAAGGAAACCCGTTACAAAACACTGCAGCCAATGCACAGCAACACAGGTCAGCGCTGCAATGGCTCGGCGTGCAGTCTTGCAGCTCAACTTGGCTTGTGCGGCAAGCGTCTCTTCATACAATCTGTCCAAAGGCACTCTACGGCGGCCGTGGTGAGCAGACCTCGGGTGGAGTTAGGTGCCCAGATCCACACTTCATGTACACGGTGCGTGCATAGGCCTTTAGAGAGTTCGTCACTTCCCTTCTCTCGGTGCATGCCACTGAGCCGACAGGAATCGCGGCACATCTTGCTGTCCAAGCTCTCGTGCGAGCCTTGGAGACGTCTCTCTGGTTCGCGAAATTGTGGTGGATTGGGCATGTGCCCAGTATTTTATGTCGGAACGGATGTACAGGCCCCGCCAGCCCCGTTGACGCTCGCTTTTACACTCTAGGCCGCGACTCCTCCATGGAACCAATTTTCCAGAGGTGCGTGTAAACTACGTGCGTGTCTATCTAGGTATCTGCCTATCTATCTATTTATCTATCTGTCCATCTATGTATCTACGTATCTATGTATCGATCTATCTACCTGTCTATCGATCTATCTATCTATGTATATCTCTATCTATCTGTTATCTAAATCTCTATATACCTAGCTTTCTTTCTATCTATTGTTGAAACGTATCTACCTGTCTATCTGCCTTATGCAGCTCACATTTTTTCGCTCTATGTGTCTCTCGGTTTTCTTTCTCTCTCCGTCTCTACTCTCTCGCTCTATTCGCCTACTCTCTTGAAGCCACCTCACAGGTGTTCCATCAGGTTCAGGACCAAAGCTCAGGCTCCGCCTCGTAAGCTGGAGGAGTGAAATTCTCGGTGGCTAACGCAGCATGCTCTCAAGTTTCCAGGAAAGCCACACGCAAAACGTGGGCATGCATGCTAGGTAGGGGCGCCTGATGCAACAAACCGCTCTTCTTTACAAACCCAGCGCTAGCACGGCCTCAGATCGAGCCACCGGCGCATCTGGAAGAAGGGAAGTTGATACCACCCGGTAGATGAGTCCGCCCACGATGCGCTCGCAGGAGGATGTTTCGTTCGCTCCTGCGGTGAAGATTAGCTGCAAAGGTCTCGCGAAGCTGGGAGCCGGCCGGGCTTCATGGACCAAGTGGCCGCTTGGAGCAGATCCTAGCCTTACTTCCGTTCGGACAGGTTGAGGGTCTGTTCATGCACCTTCCCTCCTGAAGGTCGACAAGCTTGTGAAGCCCAAGGCAGTCGGTAAGGCCTTCCCAGAGCAGCCGACCGTGTTCCAAGTCGACTTGTTTGCCTGTCTTGCCTCCCTTCGCCGAGAGGCCGTGGAGCCCAAGCCAGGCCTCGGATCATCGGATTCTCCGATCGTCTTGTGAGCTCCTAGGAGTCCTAGCGCTTGGAAATGGTCAGCGCACCCATAAAGGGTGCTTTGACGCAAAATCTCAAGCTACCGCCGCCGGACCATTGTCGCTAGATCTTCTCATTGCTCGACTTGCCTGAAAGTTTCTGCAAACCAGCTTTGACTCTGTGCCCCGCGCCAGGTCTGAAACGACGTGGCAGTGGAGCGGGCGGAGCGAGCGGCTCCAGGCACGGAGTCTGCATGGCCCACACCATGGCCGCCATGGCCTCCACCTGTCACTCCCCCGACACAAATGCAATCGGCAGCGCGTCGGATTTCCCACCCTAGAAACAAGACAGCTCAAAGCCAGATTCGTCAACTAATCCCGAGTGGGGGACAAGGCTCACAAAAGCGTTGCTTGCCAGTCGTCGGTCAATCGACATTCGATGATTTCCAGCATCGCCACGTCTGGCTTCCCACATGTCTGTGATGCTGGCAATTAGGGGTGTGCCAGCGCGAACCGCCTCCTTATGGGGTGATGGAACACGAGTGACACCGCAGCAACATCGTACGAGATGATTCAGCACAGACGAAGCAAGCCAGGCGGCCCTCACGCGAGTGGAGGAGGATCATCCAGTCAATCCAGTCGTGGAGTGAGTAGGCGGGCAGGAAAGTCTGTGTCGATTGAAGGACTGACGAGGTTGAGCTTGACGAGACGCAGCTTCACGAGTGGGCCGGTGCCCGAGTGGCGGACGCAAGACGGAAGGTCTGAGAGCTTGCAGCTGCGGCAAGCAGCAAGAAGCAAGCAAACTCTCCTCTCCCTTCTCGCTCTTTCTCCCCGAGCCTCGTAATGCAGACACGTGCAGAGACATGCTTGAGGCCAAATCTTGGCTGCAGTGCTCACCCCAGCGGCATCTGAAAGTTGGAAGTGGCGTGCGTGTGTGTGTGTGTGTGTCTCATGATCTTATCCCAGTGTTTGTAACACTTGCGGTCCTGGGGCTTCAGGGTCCACCAAGCAAAACTCCACAGTTGCGGCTTCTGTCAACAGTTTTCAGGTGGAGACCATGTTTGCATTGAAGCACGGCGTTGACAGTATTTATCTGCAAAGCAAAGGCAGTAGGGCCGCCAGTCTGTCTCCGGTGGATTGATTGACCTTTGCTTTTTGCGTTTAGTTTAGTCTAGCACCATCGCTCTCTCCGTATGCTCCTTCCGTCTCCGCAGTGTGAACGCTGAAGCCGGCAGCGACAGGCCGTCCAGTGTCGCGGACATGTTGCAGGACATGCCTGAAGATAGGCAGTTCTTCGGAAGCACAGCGTTCGCGTATCGGAACGCCTGATAGGACTTCGGTCGCTTCCAAGAAAGGATCACACATCGAATGCGGTGCTGGCATGCTGGGCAGGACACGGTGCTCATGCCAACAGTACACACAAGGTAGTTTTTCGATGATTGTCCCGAGCACATCAGAAAGGCAGGAAATGGATTCGTTCCTCTGCCGGTGCTGCCACCAGTACCTCCTCAAGCTGCGACCAGCAGCAGGCCCGTTTGCTCCGGATGCCTTCAGAAGAACTTCTGTGGGCTTTGTGGGACAGACACTTGGTGCCGAAGCGATGGCGAAGACCCACTTCTTTGCAAAAAGGTTGGGGCCCCAGACGACAATCGGGTGCGGATGCTGGGCCCAGCCCTTGTCTTTCCAGGCAGTGCTTCCGACAGCTTGCCGTCACAAGTGCACCAGCACAGCTTTGAAGAGGAGGTCGGAGGGATGTCGAACAGGCTAACGCAAGCCATTGTGCAAAAGCCGGAGCTGCCTAGCTTCTTCCGGCATGTTGCTTGCCGTTCGCTGCTGTGCCTGCGCCGATCGCAGGACTCGGAATCTGACTTGCCTCTTTCACCGGTGAAGCAGCTGCCCTGAGAGCATCGGGAGATTATGCGTGCGTCGTGTCCTGCAATCAGGTCCCAGAAGGATCTGTCCATGCTGAGTGTCAGCACAGGTCACCGTCTGGTGATGTGAGAAAGCTGGCGCGTGTAACAAACTCGCCATGTGAAGCCAGGCTTCCCCAGTTGCAGCCGCAGTTTCCACCCACACGGGGTTTTCAGGGAGGCACGGGGCTTACAGTGCTCACAGGTTGTGCCCCCCTAGTATAGAGTATGCTGGTATCTGTCACAGAGAGGCCTCCATAGCTGATTCTGTACCAGAGCAGAAGCTGCCTCTTCTACGCTGCCCGCCGTCCGCACCCCAGACGAACCTAGACGTTCCAAGCGGTGTCATGGACGACCATGGACTAAACCGAACTCAGGGAGTTCCAGGAGCCTCATCGAATGCCACATTGCCTGCTGCTTACGCGATGCCCGTCATTCACCTTTCTGTTCAGTGATGTTGCAATGGTTTGCGAATATTTGCGATGTGTCAGGTGCGGCGCTCACAGCAACACCCGAGTTCCTCTATCTTCGCGTTTGTGAGTTGTCCGGGCAACTACCCTGCAGCGAGGCGCGTTTGTTGCATAATTCGTATTGCTGGTGTAGGTCCATCACATCTCGTGGCCGAGCAGCACATCCAGCGCAGTTTGAAGCATTTCCTCAGCCATATACTTTTGCAGCGCTTGAAGGGAGTTTTCGTGTATGACTACTGGCTTGCGTGGCTCAATCCGGTTGAAGAGTCGCCCATGGCCCACGTAACCGGTGACCCACCTAAGGGGGGACTGTAAAGGTGACTCGCCAGCACAAGGATCAGCGAGCTATGCTGTTTGAGACTGTGGAGCTCAAAAAGCCCGCTGTGCTTGCCAGGATGTGTGGTTCCGTCATGGCCGACCCTCAAGGGGCTTCGAAGGAAGTTCAGGTTGCTGCTCGTCCGAAGGAGAAGCTGTCTGCCTAAGCGGTCGGGGGGGGGTCTGTATATATGACATGACAGCAGCCGCACCATGCCGCACCCACTTGCCCATGCGAGCTTGCATGGCCGCCTGCAAATCGAAGAAAAAAGCAGATTATTGCCACTCTTGAAGGTACTCGAATATTAGTCATCATTATAACCACTCTTAGTACTTGCTGTTCAACTGTTCGTGGATTTGGGCTCGGTCGACTTGTCTTCTGATGCTTTGGTCCCGTGGCTTTCTGAGTCCACTGAGAAGGGCGGCAGGAAGGAAGAAAAGGAACGACCTACAAGGAGATGTTGGGTGCGACTGACGCGCATCCTCACCGAATCTCTGGAGTTCACGAACTAGACCACCGAAAAGTAGCTACGTTCTGCGAGGAGCTCATAGCATCTAGGTCATCTTGAAAAGGGAACCGATCAAACTCTGCAAAAGCCCTAAATCGAGGTGAAGTCGAGAGGCAATCGATTTTTGATTGATTATGCTTATTGCTATCATTTTGAGGCCCTGCAAACACGGGCACGTCAGCATCCACACAGTACCTGCAAGTTGTTACATGTAAGTGAGTCGGCACTTCGAGAGCCTTGGTTGCACGGGTTTCATGAGCTTGGCTACAGCCACGAGAGCTGAAGCTTCAAGCAGTTCCGAGCATGAGGGCATGTCTACTGAAGCCCTCCCAAGAAACAGAGGGTATCGTGAAAAGTTCAAAGATGCAGGCGTAGAAATGCAGCAGGATTCAACAGTAAGTGGCTTGCAGGGTAGACTTTGAAGTGCAGGGAGGATAGTTTTAGTGGGTCACTTCCGTACTTTATATTTTAAGGCTCGAACTTCAGGTGATTCAGGTCTCGCAGGAGGTGGAACAGTGCCTGAACAACAGCTTAACTTATCAAAGGACAGTGCGAATCTGTGGGCTTCTTGTCGGGAACATTGAAGCAGCTTGCAAGAAGTTGCCTGCGGCAGATAGCGATTCTAAGTTCAAGCAGCAGGAATTGGGAGTGCAAGCTTTAGGAAGTCTTTTTATCCCAATCCTCCTTTACATGAGCTTGTCCGGCTCTCAGCAGTTGTTCCGAACATGTCTAAACCCCTTTTCAAACCACAAAGACGTTGAACGACAACATGCCAGGAAATGTTTCGTTTGAAAGGATTCCAGGCAGTGATTAGAGAAAGGCAGTGATTAGAGAACAATGCGAACACCTCCTTCTCTCAAGATGCTAACTGACATTCGCTGCATCATGTTGCTTCTTTTTGTATCGACGTTGGCAGAACCACATGAGCCGCTAGTTATGACTGTGTGTTGAATGAAGCCGCTCGAGGCATCCAGGGACCTGCAAGAATTTGAGGAGGAGCTTGCCAAGTGACTGACCTAAAGATAGAGAGTAGCCGTTCTCGGTGGAAGTCCTACGCATGATGCGTGTGCTTTTGTCTTCGTGCCATTGAAGCTTGCTTGTATTTCGCCCGTGGAGCAAGGCAAGTGCCAATATTGTTAGATCACATGAACGATGCAGCTGCGGAGACGAACAGACTGGAATCACAGTTATCAGGTGCACAAGCGAGTTACAAGTTAGCGCTTACAGATTGGAGCCGTCTCTACAACGATCTGCGATCGCAATACGGTGGTGGCTTAAGTGGTGCTATCGACTACGCCAAGCCTTACTTTGATGCATTGGAGAAGTGCCAAGCAGCTACGAATCGTGCGGACTCTGTCCGCAGAAGGTATCGTGCTGCACGGCGGCAATTTAAAGAAGTTGTGGTCAGGCTCAGGGACTCGGGCAGCCCGTCTCCTGTGCTGGCCGCGGGCTCGCAGAGAGTCTCAAAGCTTCGCCAGGAGCTCAAGTCCCTACAGTCTGAGTACGAGCTTGCCATGCTGACGCTCCAAAGCACAAAGGAAGATTTAAAGTTGCAGCGATCAAAAGTGGACGAGAAAACCATCGAAGGAGCCAGGCCATGCTTCAAAGCTCTCCACAAGGTACAACTACCTCTCGATGCGGCACACAAGCACGTAGCAGAGCTCAGTGAGAAAGTGGCTTTGGCCAAGGCAAGGTACCGCGATTCCATGAAAGAGCTAGATAGGATCAGTCAAGCTATCCATACGGCTCGAAGCGCCTGCAGCTGTCAGGCCTAGAATTTTTTTTTATACAGGGTGTAGCCATGCTCAAGCCGCGCGCGATTCTTGATCCTGCGGCCAATTGATGTGCTGCTAGGCCGGCCAGCAAACAGCCTGACCTGCCTGCAGCCATCCGGATTTTCGGTGACGGTGCCGCGTGCACCGGTCTACCTTCAAGGTACTTTTGTAGAAGGTGATGTGGGGCTGCTCCTCCAATGGAGAGGTTCGACAGGCTCGACGTATAGACACCTGTGCTGAAATCTTACTCAGCAGTGTCGCCGAAGCAGGCCTTGAGGCGTTGCTTTGTGAAGCGCAGCGACATATCTTCAAGACTTCACTTTCCGGGTGCTGCTGTTTGCTTAGCAGAGCTGGCAAGCAGCTGTCTCCACATGGCGTCATGGTCATAGATCCTTGATGTCTCCGCAAGACAGGAAGACCTCAAAGGTGTCAGAGTGAGCACATCTTCAGAAGCTGTTGCCTTTGTAGTATTCTCGCGGTTGCTGGCCTTTAGTTGAAGCTTGCAGTCTCAAGCTGATTCGGGCAAGCATCGTTCAAAAGTGATGATGGTCAGACCTCCTCTAGTAACCCTTTTCGTGCCTGTAAGAGGAGACGCACTTTGACTTGCCACTTCCTGTCTATAGTTCTCGGAGGCCTGTAAACCTTCCTTGCCCCGTTGGGAATGAGACTTTGTAGCATGGATGGCACTATCCGTCGAAGAAGTGAACCTCATCGCCGCTCTGCTTTCCTGGGCAACCCTAGCTGTCCTTGGTGACAAATACATGCCTGCAAGTATGGTTAGCCATGGCCCTCAGGTCACTTGGTCAGTGACTGGCTTTGTGGCTTGGTGATGGGTTGAGCAAGATGTTATCAGGTTCCGCAGTCTGCCCCGAACAACAGAGCCAAAATCGAAGATCCCCCAGTGTATCTAGCGCCCGATGATTCACGACAGTGGAGAGATCCCTTTTTGCGGCGAGGTCGTTTTGTTGCTTCTCAGCCTGTGCTGCAGCTTGGCAGCATGAGCAGAGAGCTCCCGAACCCGTCATGGACCCCTGGAGCCCCAGGCACGGCATGGTGCCTTCGAGTCGGCTGCTGTGGGCCGTTCAGCCTCGGGTCAGGCCCGGAGCCCGAAATCGATCTTGGTCTTTCGTTGCTTTTTCAGTCTTTTTCCCGATGGAGGTGACGTTCGGGCCTTCCAGGTTTTTAATGACCTCTACCGTTTCAATGAAATCGCTCCAGGGCAGAAACAGATCGAATTATTCTGGGCGAAACATTCTGCTTCTGCTGGCGTTGATATGATGAGATTGTGGGTTCCACGGCTCGCCAGCCAAGGAGGTGGAGGAGGGCTTCTTCGACACCGAGGTGTCGTCCAAGTACTGCAGGCTTCGCACATACGTCAGACCCAAGAATCCGGCGCTGCTCAAAAGCAAGAAGCAGGGGAAGCCGGTAAGTTCTGAAAACACGTCTGCTCCAGCGCATCATGCCAACATCTCCAGAATCCTCCAACATGTTTGGTACTCTTTGATGCTGATTCAAACCCATGTGAGGCTCAACTGGTCCTCGCTGAAAGTGGGTGCGTCAAAAGGCTTTCTGGTGGAAGTGGGCCGGGAGATCGATCGCGAGCTACTGGCATTCCAGCACCTTGATTCAAAGGTGGAGTTGCACCTGCCACGTCTATGCATGCTACACCCTGGGTGTCGCAAGGTCTGTGCCATTCATGGTTTCCTCTCGTCTCATCTCATCTCTGAACTGTCCGCGCAGTCGCCGCTACATGCACATGCCGTAAGCGTGACCAGTACGCCTGCCTTTTAGCTGTAGCTTGTCTGGGTGAGGGGTCGGCGGGATATCGGACCGGAGCGACGGCTCCAGCACTGCTCCCACGATTTGTCAAAAGCAAGTGCGTGTTGTTCATGGATGTTTCGCGTCACGTCGCTGTGACATGTAGGCATACATAGGCATACTTATGCAGTTACGAAGGCAGGATAGCCAATGTCTGGCATGTCTGTCTTCCGCAAAGACGGTCAGTCGAGTTGGTTGCCGATTCTCAGCTGATGCAGGATTTGCGCCTGGGTTCAAAACTGTAATGTTGGTAGAACTGACTCATCAGACAGCCTGGCAGGCTGACAGGTGCATGTGCATGTCAGCTGTGGGAGGGGTTGTGTGCGGTTCCAGAACTGGGACGAGCCTTTGCTTGATGGCAACACAATCGAAGTCCCACAGCATACTTGCAGAGCTTATTGCCGAGAGGTGAAGATGACAGTCAAGCTGCAGGAAAGGTGGAGAATGTAGAGTGGAGCGTTTGTGGCCGGCATGTTGTACTTGGTGTGTCGTTTGGGTGGTTTCGGATTGTTTCGCCGGTTCTCCCATTCGTTGCTGGCCTTGGTTCGAGGTTCAAGGCTAAAAGACATCTGTTCGGAGTCCAACTCATCGACTAGACTTATGCAGTCTTTCGCCGCAAAGGGGTCGTTGGATTGTCGTCTACGGTCTACAGACATCCGCTTAAGCTTAAACGACAAAAGC